GTAAACATCCAGGGGAAGGCCAGCAAGTGAGGGAACAATTTATTTCTTCAACACCTAATTGACATTAATGGCCCTGAAAAATTGAGGACCAAGGAGAGTACTGGATACCATTTGGCAGGGAATTCCAACCTTGTATGGTGGCATGTACAAGCAGCAGGAGGGTTATAGTCCTCATGATTAGGGTCATTCAACTTGAACTTTGAGGTCTTATAGAGAGCTCTTATACCAGATGACATCCCAGTTAGGAAGGTAGAGGTGGAGGAGTCAGTCCTGTGGGCAGGGTCTAAGGGGGGAGGCTGGGTACCTTGTTCTTAGCAGCCACAGTGTGGGAAGAGGTGACAGACTAAGAGCTTACCTTGACCGTGATAGTAGTCGAGTCTTCTTTGGCCGGAGAGAGTAAGGTCATGGGAACAATTGCCTGAGAGTCCTTAGGAGAAGGAGGGTTCAGGGCCTGGGGAGTATTTAGCACCTAGGTTAGAGTTGAACTGAATGAAGAATGCTGTAGTAGAGTTTTTGTTCCAACTGCATGTAGCTGAACAGCCTCTCCCCATTAGGAAGTTCTACACCAAAACCTGTACTTCTTTTATCTTGACAATGGTCACATCAGCGATGGTTGGCCATACTAACTTATCAAACAGTGGGTTTACTGTATTCTAATACCTGTGATAGTAGTGAAACTGTAGGAAACTAAAGTTACCTTTAAGTGCAACATAGGACTGTATAGTTGTATGTATAAGGCAACGGTCAGCTTCGGAAATGGGCATGAGACAGAGGTCTACATAGGTGGTCTCAAGTGATAAGGAGGAGTTGGACTCAAAATATACAGGCAACAACATCCTCGAACGGGGGAGAGAATCTGTGGAGAAGGGAGCTCTTGAAGATGCTATTCTCACCCAAGACTACACTCAGTGATTACCAGGACTAGGCCACAGATATCTCACACTAAAGTGCCGTTTAAGCGAGAACAGCTACTTCTAACTGACTGCTCGAAATGAAAACCAAAATCGAGTAATGATAGATGAAGTACTTATTACCAGCAAAATAAGGTAAAGTATCTTGTACCCAGTTTTGAGACGGGGTGAATGTAAATATGGGAAAAGTACTTAGATGTCAATCTAATTTTATTTAAACACGTACTACCAACACTGGCATACAACAAGCAGCTGCTGGCCCTGGGATACTGCTAACCGGTATACTACTAATCCTCAAGCTAACAAAGTCTACGGCCCCATACCTGCTATTCACGTGTTCTGCCCATATGAGAACTAATGACAAGACTATCAAACAACCCAGCACACTCTCCAGCCCAAGTTGGTAGTCTCCCTGTTATGAAGCAAACCAGCACTAAGAGTAGCTGAAGCCAAGCAAAAAACCAACCTGACAAAGTTCCTCGTCTAAAGCCATAAAAAGACTACCACTTAATCTAAATGCCCTCTCGCAAAAACCTCATCTTCAGTGGAAAACCAATAAACAATCAGAACCGGTAGGGAGACACCATAGCAGGGAGGATGCAACTGATATATCTCCTCTCATGCCTGCATGCCAGGCCATCGTATCTAGGAATGTACTTTGCCAATCGCCTCCAAAGAGGATATCAGCAGGGAGTACCTGTACCTGGTGCCTGTAACTAAATAGAAAACTTGAACAAGGGAAAAACATAGAGTTGGTAACAGATCAAAACAGCTAGTGGGGCCTCCATCCCACCTGTGATTCCTTGCCTCTGACTACCATACCAGCAACTAAACCAAAAAAGCCAAACAAGTCCAACCAGGTTGTCACAATTCACTATCCGCACAGGTGTTAATCAGTGAGCCAGCCTGCCAGGAAGCTTTGCAGTACTCGGCAGCTTAACCTAAGCCAGCAGGGCTATACCGGAAACAATTAAGTAGATCCTGCCTAACCTGACATAAGTCTGACCTGTGCTTGTAGGTGCCTCTCTCCTCCCAATTAGCACCACCCAAGCACCACACACTAGATGCCATAAGACCCATCTAGCCTCCTCAGCCCATCGGACAAATCTAGCATCCGACAGCCATAGGACAGCCTATACCTGCCGTCATCAGGCAGGTACTAGGCTTGGCCACACCAACAGAGTCCCATCTCACGACACCATGTAGTTAAGGAGGGTCCAGCAGCTACAGTTGGGAGCCACCAAATGGGGCTGCACCAATACCTGAAGGCACCGGCACCAGCCATATCATCGAACTCAAGCTGAACTAAAGTTGAGCTGAGCCGGGAACTGTCAGGCAGGACCGTCTGAAGACACTCCAACAGCTCCGGCAAAAGGCACAAACCAAACAATAGGTGAGAAGCACCCCCAACTCATGCCAGTGAAAAGGGCGAGTAAAGGTAACAGTATCAGAAAAATGGAAGGTAGGTCCCACTTGCAATGGATGAATCTACCAACCACAATCCGCCACTGAATCAACTGAACATACAGGCAATGTGGAGGCCAGGTAACCAATTATCTCACACCATTACAGGTAAATATAAAAGGCTGCCCAGAGGGTAAAAAGGTTCAGGGGTGAAGCTATACTCAGTGAAGTGAGAAGAAGACACCTGACTAAACCACTGTATATATTACCAGAACAAACCTTCAAGGGAAAGGTGATAAATAAGGTCGGATTCCGACCATAGAAACCTAACGTAATAAGGTCGGGTAGGGCAGATATTGCCCTGCCCACCTGCGGAATGATGTGGCTGGTACAACAAGTTAAATCCATGGGATGGTTATCAAGTAAAACCTGTGATTGTTTTGTATTGTGAGAACTAAGGACTTTATTAAAACGCAACCAACCTGAGCTGGCCCAAAGAATGACTTGGACAATGCTCTAAACACAAAGTACTATTATTTCAATTAAACTCAAACCCTATGAGTAGACAATAGACATGAAGCCAAAGACATTTTACTAAAAGGAGCCAGTGAGTGAGTGCAATAAAGAGCTCAAAGTACCAGCATTGTAAGATAACCAGTAGGCAATGAAACTGTTCAAACAATTGATCTGCTACACAACCACCATTACAGACAGAACTCAATACCAAGAAACCCATGAACTACTAGGCGAACTCAAATGTCTCCCCGAGAATCCAGGGCATCAAAGACTATCTTGAGTATGATAGGAATACTACTGAGGTGTAGCGAAAGCAATAACGAGGAAAGTACTTAGAACAAAGCCTGAAGAGCCTATCCTTCTCAGCCATACCGGCCTCCTTATAATGTACTCTTCCTGCCCTAAGTCATATGACCTATCATAGTCACATGAGCAAAACCAAATCATAACAAACTAGTCATATGACCAAAGTAGTCACATGTGCAAAACCCATGACCTCATGGCTAGGTCATGTGCAAAAACTAATAAACTAGTCATAATGCAATAAACATGTCCTATGACCTCAATTGGTCACATGCGTGAAACCTATAACCCATAAAAAGGTCATGTGTGAAACATATATCATATACACAAGGCATACCATTAAGGCATAATTGCCAGGCAAACTTGCCAGGCGTATGTCCGATGACTCATAATCGAGTCATTGGCGAAATATAACAAATTATAACATATCAAGTCATATGATCCAAATGAGACCTATGCATGAAGGAATAACATACCTATGACTCATAATCATGAGTCATGTGAAAACCTTTTCCGTGCCAAGCCACATTCCTGACAATTATATACATTCATAACATACGATCAAACTACTCGTCATATGAGTTGGGATATGATTAGAGAAAGTATAAGTTACGTCTGTATACCAGATCTAATTCGTCAGGTAATGGCTAGTATCGGGTACCACAAGTCCCAGCCTGGACAGAAATTTAAAGTATTACTACAAAATTAATCAAAGCGAGTAGAGTAGGCTCAAGCTTATATGCATTGGACCTTTCGTAACTGCTATAAAATTTTATATTCTGATAAGATATACTTTTCTACTATGAGCTTCAATTATTATCTTATGATTATAGAAAATACCTCTAAAGAATATTATCCAGACTGTATTAATGATTGGGAAAAGTCTGGGAGATCTGGTACAATGGCTTGGGGAGAATTTTGTAGAAGGATGAAGTCAGAATTGGTCTTTGTTTCCAGCAAGGTATCTGTTGATTCTGCTACTTATACTAAACAAATACATGATAGCCATCTTATATTATTCTAGCATACTCTCTGTGAAGAATATGGTTAGACAAGTATAATAGAAGATTGGGCATTAGATCATCAGAGGTTTGCTATTAACTGTTGTGGAAAAAAGTTGGAGTGGACAGGATAATGGATTGGCCTCCTCAGTCTCTGAATCTAAATTTAATAGAGAAGGTTTAGGGATAGATGAAATATGAACTTGGAGACAAGAAGAGAAAGATTGAAGCATTAGAACTATTAAAAGTGGCAGTGGGAATTGTTTGGGATTCTGTACCACTAGACTATTTGGAGGATTTGATTAGAAGTATGCCAAGTCGACTTCAAGCTATTATTGATGCAAATGGTGGTCCTACTCAATATTAGTTATAAGATTATAAACTATATTAGTATTTGTTAAACAAGTTAGTATTAAAGAATATTTTATGTTTATATATTATAAGAATCTATTTGGCAATGCCATAATTGTTTTAGTTAGCTACTTAAGTTTATAATGGTTAATGCTTTTTTCTTTCTTTTTCTTTTTCTTTTATAGAATGATTTTACTTTATATTACTATGTCAGAACAGAATTATACCGGGAATCATGCACCGCCACATGCGCCACTATATGCACCGCCATATGCACCGCCTTGTTCGCCAGACTTTTCCCTACCCCCTTCGTACGTTTAACCCCCGATAGGGTGACACTATCTTTTAGCACAGCGACACAAATGCAGTATCATCGCTACGGTTTTTAGCAAAATCAAGGTACGGTGGCACCGTAGTAACCGGAAGTGATATCCCAACCCTAACCCTGGCATTCCGCCCCGCCTTCCTCACTTTCTTTTTTTGTTTCAAATTGCGGACAAACATCTGACACCGAATGACTCCTTCCTTCCTCGTGGGAAGTACATTACGTCCACACTCCCATTCTCTCAATCTACGTGTCCTGAGCCCAACAGGGTTCGCAAAAATCCATTCCCGGGCATTCTCTAAATACTCTACGCTGCTTAATTCCGACCACCACAGTCAAAAACTGCCCAGCCATCCCCAAACACCCGCACCTGCTGCAACCACGAGAATGGGTAAAAGGAAACGAACGCCCAACCAAGGACCCATTGCCCCGAACCCAGCCCCCGCACATGCATTCCCGGTAACGCTAGAAGATGGCACTGAGTGCACTGCGGTGAGGGAGGGTCTGGCGACGGTGCTGTTTCCGAGGTTTGTCGCTAAGAAGGATAAGAGTGGGAATGATTTGGTGGACGGGCAGGTATTCTATAACCCAGTTCAGCAATTTAATCGAGATTTGAGTGTTTTGGCCATCCGAGCTTTCGGGGAAGTTTTTTTGAGGGAGAAGAAAGCGAAAAAGGCGGCCAAGATGAAGGGGGATGAGGATGTGGGGGGGAAGGAGAGCGAGGTTGCGGCTAGGGACAGGACACGGGAAGGGGCCGGGGGGATGGGGGTAGTTCCCGAGACAAAACAGGATCAAAGGAAGGAGGGTAGAGATACAGTGCAGGAGAGACCAATGAAAGCGGACATACCGCCAAAATTTTCGATCCTGGATGCGCTCTCAGCGACCGGCCTCCGAGCACTCCGCTACGCTCTCGAAATCCCCTTCGTCACCCACACGACCTCGAACGACCTGGATCCTTCTGCCAGCCAATCCATACGCCGCAATATCCACTTCAACAAAACCCACACCACAAAGACCGTCGACCCAGCGCTCACTCCTGATGCTGCCTTGTCCAAGATCCAGGTCGAAACCGCAAACGCAACTCACCATATGTACTCCGTCCTCTCACCCCCGAAACCACGAAGCGAAGCGGAATATGCCAACAAGTCACGGGACTATCCCTCTAGTAAATATGACGTCATAGACCTCGATCCCTTCGGCACTGCAGTCCCATTCCTCGACGCAGCAGTTCAGGCGGTGAGTGATGGGGGGCTACTCTGCATCACCTGCACGGACGCCGGGGTGTGGGCTTCAATGGGCTATAGTGAGAAGTGCTTTTCGCTGTACGGCGGGATGCCGATTAAGGGGGAGTGGAGCCACGAGGCGGGTCTCCGGCTGATCCTGTATGCAACGGCAACTACGGCGGCAAGGTACGGGTTCTCTATAGAGCCGCTGTTGAGTCTCAGCATAGACTTCTATGCTAGGGTGTTCGTGCGGGTGCGTAAAAGCCCGCGGGAGGTTAAAAAGCTAGCAAGTACGAGTATGATAGTATATAATTGTGATTCGGGGTGCGGGTCTTGGAGGACGCAATCCCTAGGAAAGCGCAAGGAGGAGAAAAACAAGAACGGGGATGGAACATATCTAAAATTCGGATTAGCGATGGCCCCAACCACAAGTTCAGAATGCCCTGATTGCGGATTTCCTATGCATGTATGTCCCTTCCTCCCCCTCCCGGTGCCTCCGACTAAATCCACCACAGCTCGGTGGCCCAATGTGGTCCGGCCCCTTGCACTCTCCAACCTTCATAACTCACCTCCTCTCAGCCCTCCCCGCTCAACCGCCCGAAATCTACCAAACCCTCCCGCGCATAACCGGCATGCTCCAGACCGCTCTACAAGAATCCACACTCCCGAACTCTCCGTTCTTCTTTGTGACCAACTGCCTCGCGCGGACCCTACACTGCGAGGCCCCGCCCTTGGCCGCTTTCCGCGGCGCGCTCATGCGTCTCGGATACACCGTTGTGCGGAGCCACTGCAAGCCCACCTCCGTCAAGACTGACGCCCCCTGGAGCCTCATCTGGGAGGTCATGCGCCGGTGGGTCCGCCAGAAACCGGCTGGTCAGGGGAAGGTGGGCGGGGCGATGGCTGGTTATAAGATTTTGAAATTTGGAATAAAGGAGAACGCGGATAATGGCGAGGGATCTGCGAGGGAGAAGTGGAGGGCGGAGAAGGAGAAGGAGGAAATGGAGAGGTTGACTGCGCTCGAGATTGTGTTTGATGAGGGGCTTGGTAAGGATAAGGATAGAGTGAAGGGGGTTGTGAGGTATCAAGTGAACCCGACGGCGAATTGGGGGCCCTTGAAGAGGGGGAGGGGGGTCGAGGCTCTAATTGGAGAGACTACTGCGGTCGAGGAGGGGGGTGGGGGCGAGCTAGTGGAAAGGGGGGAAGAGAGTGACGAAGAAGGGCGTGTGAGTAAGGAGGCCAGGTGAGTTTTCTCTCTCTCGCTCTCACTCTCTCGCTCACCTGGTGTGGAATGAAAACTGATGGGCGTAGAACTGGATAACTGTGATGAGGCGGAGTACTCATAAGGGATGTTAAAGTTTGGCCCGCTTCAGATGTAAAAAAGATCCTTTGTATTATAGTCAAAAGTAGCAAGGGTGAGGTGGGACAATTGAGTTAGTCTCATCTAATATCACTCGCATAATTACTCCTTGGGGATATGGCGCTGAGTTTGTGAACCGAGAAATTACTAGGCAACTTGTAGGTTATCGGAAACGGGTAAGTCGCGCGTGCGATAGGACCCACATCCGAGGGCATACTATACCTATACTCTACTGACTCCGTGAGAGCGGGAAGTCGCAATAATTTGAACTGAAAAAGAATGGACGCCGTGCACAAATCAGTGCTTATCTTATCTGTGTCACTGATGCTCACGATAAGGAATAGTCAGTAGGGCGAAACCCTATTAATGCCATCTGGATCGGAAACACATGTGTATAGGTTAGGGTTGGGAATAGCTCTAAGGTTTAGCTTCAAGAAGGGGTGAAAAATCAAGCAAATTCTATCATACCATGGCTAGTGGAATTCTACCATGGCTAGTGACATTTTACTATGACTTGTGAATTTCAATCATAAATCTTAAATCATGCATACTATTATAGATGCTCTAGTCTTCTTTTTACATCTCACCTAAAAAATTATCACATCCAGCCATGCAAAAGCAATGTTTTTGTTTTGTAACTATCATGATCTACCTCTCACTTAGGCTTCACTCTATTAATAAACTCTTCTTATTACTGACTTGTGGACTCTGTCTCTTCTGGTTGCAGCTACTCTCATAGCTCTTGCTCTTGTTCTAATATCCTTCTTGTACTGTTTTCTATACTAGTTAAGGAAGTCTCCAGACTCTAATCTTGATCTTCCTTGGCAGCATGTATTAACTCTGATATCTACATGCTCTACTGATATAAGGATAGATTATGAATTCATAGTATGGAGCAGGAATCAGATGCTAGTGAGAAGTGGTACAGTACTTATCTGATATGTGCTATAATTTTATTCAATTCAGAACTATTTATTGAATTCAATATTACAAGAAATAAAAAAATATCTCATGATCATAAATAGCTGTTAGTGATTATTTTCAATTTCCTGCTTTTTTCTTTCCTATTATATTACTCATAATTGTAAAAGTGGTAAGAAATAAGATTATTCCACTTGTATTTCCAATGTATTTTCCACATTTTTCTACTTTTCCTTGAAGTGAAAATGAAGACCAATATAAGAAACATGGCATTATGAGACTAAGAATAGTATGAACTAAAATTTAATATAAGTAGAAAGAACAAATAAAATACTTGAATGGATTATAGATATTTGAATAGAGAAAAGTAAAATGAGCATAATAAAATAGGATTACAAGTAGAAGCTTATAAGAGAAGTAAAAGAGAGAACGTGAGAGATAAAAAAAACAAAAACAAAAATTTTACATTATCACTATTGGTAATAACAGTATTTACATAATTGATCATTGTATGAAGAATCTGTGCAAGCTCATACTTGGTAATAGCATTCTATCGATTCCTAATTGCACTGATCATGTTCTTATTGTTCGGGACTGGAGAAGCAGCATGCTAATCTAAGACATCATTAATCTCTAAACAGTATTAATGAGATTAAAGTTTGATAAGGTTGTAGGAGAAAGAAGATAACTATTATACAGGATATGGTCTTACAAGTTAGTAACTATTATATCAGCATGATAGGAGAAAGTATTATCATATAAAATATAAACATAATCATAAGCCTAAATAGCCTTATCATGCCAGAATTGATCCAAATATAGCAGAATATGAGTTTGATATCCTTGAACAGTTACGGCCTTATCCCCTTACTGTTTTATTTCAGATAATTGGAGGACATTTAAGATAACCAACAAAGTATGATACCTCAAATCAAAATTATTTCTAGTTTTTTAAACTTTAGGAGAAGGCAGGACTCATGAAACTTCTTATCTACTCTTTAAGTAATCCACATATGATTGAAAGCTCTACCTATATTAAAAGCGAAGTCATATATTCACATAGCCTGTACGGTAAGTGATTAAATAGAAGAAAAATGTGCTCTAGGGGCAGAGTAAAGTGAGTTATGCCAAGCTGTTAACTAACTGATGGATGACATATTGCATAATCAAAGACATATCAAAATCTAAGTGTACATACTCTTTTCACTTGACTTCACCAACAAGATATTTCCTATTCAGCTCATCAAATAAGATATCAAGCTTTTCCTCTTGATTCACATCATTCTTGGTAAGTCCTCCCTGATTCCAATCCATCAATCCCGTAATCAATAAGGCAAAGTCAAAACCTTTGACTGATATTTCAGAATCTTGACTTCTGTTAATAGGAGGTACATGACCAGTGGCAGCCAAGGCATACTGTACTACTTAGGAGTGAATCTTGGAAAAACATTCTCAGGGCTTCCTGAATGCCCAAGTACATAAGACTGGGTGTTGCCCTACCATTCTTCCCTCAAGCTGACTCCTGACAGCCAATATACCTTTCCCCTCTATCTCTGCTGTATTTACTCTCCCCTAGAGTACTTCTTATTCACTGTAGTATTTTGTTAGCTTTTAGTTTTGATAAGTTGTCTCTTCTTGCAATTTCTTTTCCCATCTCATGTATTTGCTTGTAGTACAAGAATCCGATAACTAGGAACCACTCTAAGTAGAATAACTCTACTCTGAATCAGAATGTTTGGTCTCCAACACCCCACTCTGGCCCCCTTATGGTACCTGCACACCATCATATAAAGCTATCTTGGTTGTGTCCTGTTACTATAATACCACAGAATTGAAGGTGTTAGAATAACACTAAATATGTTGCTACTGTCTGTCCAACTAGATCCTGTTCTCAGGATTTATGAAAGGAGACTTTCGGCTAGGCCTGAGAAGTAGAAAAGAGTTAATCATTCAACTACTTAAAGAGTTACAAAGCTTCAGAGATGGAACATCTTTGGTATGGACTGTAGGTAACAGGATATTTTTACACAAAGATATAAAATTGAATGTAAGATGATCTCTATGAAGACCTAATACATTCTCATCCATCCTACCATAATTAGGGCTGTCTAGAACTTTAAGGAACACTACGATAGACGCTAATGGACTTTGTAGAGTATTATAAATAGGTTCACAGATGTATTGAGGTTGCGGAAATTTTCTCCTATATTAAATAACAACTAAAATCCTGTTATCTAGAATAAACATGGAGTGCGCGAGGGAGGAATTATTTGTCAATCCGACAGAATGGCTTCCCGCAAATTAGTAGGAAGTTATCTAGGGAATATCTGTAAGTTAGATCAGGAGTTATGCAGTTTTAAAGTCAGTAACCTCAGAAGGTTGCATCTATGAATACTCCTGCAGATGCAACCCGCAGATGAAACTGACAATTTTATCAATTGAGGAGACTATTGGAGCCAACATAGTTTGACTTGAGAACTAGGCTATAAGTCCAATGACTCTGAAAATTAGATAATTAGTATTGGAAACAGTACAGTTCCCAATTAGCAAAATAATAATTACCGAAGAGGGTGTGATAGTTTTCAGTATCTGCTAGTATTTGCACTTGAAGAGAATACCTGACATTGTGAGCTATTGTTTAAGAGGTATATAATTTGTATGAGAAATAGATGTAGTCCATAAACTCTCAAATGCAGAATATAAATATTGATGTAACTTCTAAGCTTTTAGACATCATATAAATACCCGAACTCTTCACGTAAATTCGTTTATGGTTAAA